ATAGAGCCCTGATCAGAAGACCTTTTGACAAACTGGAAGAGATGCCGCCAAAACTGAATACGTGACGTGGACCATAAAATATCAACAATTAAACAACATCTTCCATTTCTTTTCACACAATACGTCTCCTTGCAGTATCAACACTAATTCGGCTGACTTTTATATTTGATCCAATAAGTAGATAGTCTGTATTTACACCATAACGATGCACAGCTGATAGAAAGGGATTTTTTTGTAGTTTTTAAAGATATTACTGATTTTCTGAACTACCTTTCCAACTCCTCATGCAGTTGACTGTTACAGGTCTATACAAGTTTATGGTACAATGCATAAGCTTCACATTGAGAGACTGAAACTGTATTTTCCTTTACCGTTCTGTTTTAATTTCACAATAAAGTGAATAGTCATATTATGTTTGATATTATTATGTTTTATTAACTAGACCACTGGTTTTCTAAACCGTACCTCCTAGTGGTTAAAGCACGTTATTGAATTTAGTTGTTGAATAAGTTACATTTTTATGAAAACATTTAAATATTAAGAGTAGCCTACATACAAAATAGGGGTCAATGATAGAAATATAGAATAGAAAATATCAAGAAGATACTGTAGTGATCTCTACAATAAAACAGTTTAGTGCAGGACGTCCAAAGATATTAACAGGTGGATGTGCAAAACAGACAAACTGATAAGGCTGAATTTTACTCAGGTGTAACGAAAGTCTGATTTAAGGGTTGTTTATATTTCACATCATTAATCAGAATCTGCAATGTAACAAAAATAAATGTAGTAGAGTAAAAATACCAGGTTGACCTCTGAATTGTAGTGGAGTAGAACAAAGTAGTACATGCTGCTGTAACAAAAACATTTCCCAAATTGGGATCAATAAAGTATCTTATCTTAAGATGATCGATGGCTACTGCCATATTTGCTAAATGTGCATCTGAACCTTGACAAGTGCATGTTTCAGGCTTATCAATTAACAACAGGAGGGGTCACAGACATAAGACCAGCTGTTAAATAAAGCTCTTCTGACCTTAGCTGTCATGTGGGTATATTAATGCTGCCCATTATGGGCACAAGCAATTTTCACCCATGTATTAATTATATGTTTTAAATTTGATAACACCAATGTGTTTCGTATCCCCTAAACCTCCAGGGATGTATACAGTTTAATACTGGCAACTTCTAATTGTGGGAAATACGAAAACGTCTTATAAAACTACAATTCCCAATAGAGACGTGCCATAGAACATATTGCGAAACACACAATAGCCAGCATGTGTAATTCTGTGGGCTGGGCTGGACCCGTCCAAATCCAGTTTTGGATAGTCTGGCGTGGTTCCATTCCATTTCAAAGAGCTGTTTGACATTCGGCGTAACCTTGTCGCACTGCCACTCCAACATCCAATCACAGAGCTTGAGGGCTAATCACGGGGTTTGTAAAGCAAGGCGGATGTTGTAGTCCCAAACGATAGCTGGGGATTCTGGGTAGTGTAGTGTCTTCGGAAACTCTGTAGTGTCTAAACTCCGAAAAAACTATTTGTTTCTCCGAATAAAGGGTTAAAAACACAAAAATATTGTACACAATTTAAACCAATCAATAGTGTGTAATTAACAAGGATAAACTGATGTTTTTAAGTGGATGAGTAATGGAGATCATTTGACAGTGTGGGGAATACTTCCGGTTTTATTATGAAAACTTCGAGACCGGAAATACTGTTTTCACCCATGCTAACTTTACATGAAAGCTGCCCCATATACAGTACACGTTCTCCTGGCGAGACCTCAAATTATCTTCGTATATCTATCAAACTGTAGATCCTACACATCCACTGGACGTAGATTATAAAAGTACAATATACACTTCTCGCTAGAAATCTAATAAAAAAGCATTTTAATGGCCAAACTATTCCACAATTTAGGATTTTCCAGAGGGTAATTTGTGAATAAACGACCCTCCGGAGCGTTTGCAATCGACAGGAGCATGTTGTTTCTTACACGACCACTAGAGGTGCTACACTTTAAAACGTGACTCTGGGTCGTATTTAGCTGCTGAACAATCGACCTATATGGTCGTTTTTTGTAGGAGGACAGGCTGCATTTGACTGAGAAAACTAAAACACACTCTTAGTTATTTGAAGTAGGGCTAAATATTTTGTATTGAAACACAAACAGGCTTACATTTAATGTCAAAATAAAATAAATGAGAATATATTGATTTAAGTTGTTGCTTAAAGGTAGGGTAAGAATGGAGAAACTAGCTCGAGTGCGCTAGAATTTGAAAATACACAGCCGGAAGAAATCTGCCCCTTCCTTACAGAGCCCCTCCTCCAACACACACGAACGCGCACATGACCAATGAGGGCACGAGATAAGTTTGTGCACAAATGGAAGGCTGACAGGCAGGTAGGCCATCCAGTTACTTTAGCCGGGCCGGCTCAGATGATTGGTCGTGCTTTTTACAGCGCCACGGCTTCCATAGATGAAGTTTTTTTATGGATTTATTGTCAAAGCATTTCATGTATTCATTTCTATCGGGATGTTAAGAGCATTCCATGGAATATAACAAAAAGTGTTTCTGAAGTGAATTACCCACCCCACCTTTAACCACTGAAATGTTCAGCTGGTTTTACTTTATGTGAGGATATTTTAAAACGAAGATTAGCTTAATCATCCCTACACATGGAAGTCCTGATGGGGTGTCATTTCAGAATACTTAACATCGAAAATATATTTTTATTTTCATGTGTTTGAATCCAAAATAAATCTGTCTTTCATTTTTAACAATACAAAAATAAACCTTTACACTAGATGTTTTTTACTTAATAACTTTATTTTGAAAGAAGTCGCCTCATTCAATATATCCAAGATGTTAAACTCCCATTTCCTCTTTTAAATAATGCTGCATGGTGCCCCTCTGGAGGATGCACATCTGAGATGCTCCGTAGGGTCTCACCTAAGTTTCCAGAGGTGAACCTGATGTCCTGCGTGACCCCGAAGGATTCAGGGGGAAACCTATGGAAATGGTTCCTCTGTGTGTTTTAGAGCCCATTTCCCTCTCTGAATCTCAGGAGGTCCGTCCAGGCCTGGCAGCCCCTCAAAGACGCCCTTCTTTTGCCCTGTGCCCCTGGGGAGGCCAGCCCCCAACATTTATGCAAAGTCAACAAGCCCTAATTGTAGGATCAGCTTACAAGCTAAATTCCTCTTGAGCCCATTAACAACTGCAGTTAATTATAAGTCAAGCGCCAGCGTGTGAGTGACAGCGAGAAGAGGCGATTTAGAAACGCAGCGGAAGGGTGAAAAAAAACCTGGAAACATTTCAAGTTACATCACGGAGGCTAGAATACGCCACGCATGCACACAGGGACATTAGAGTTTTTTTCTAGTTGGACCTCCCAGACTACAGTAAATCTCGTCTTCATTGGTCTTTGTGCGGGGATTTGCTCTAATGAAGGAGGATCAGAGCAATGAATCACACATTGTCAAAGTCACAATCAGACCAATTTTCCTCCAGCCTCAATGTGTCAGCTAGGATCATTCTGCCCTCTAATTACACTTTTGGGCAGCTGAGTCCACATCAATCTAAATTTAAGACGGTAAAAACTAGCAGGTTTGTTCGGGGGTTTAATAGTGCTGCATGCATGGCATAGTTTTGTGGAAGAACTTGGGAGTTAGCCTTGCACTGGTTCAATCGACAACAAAAAAACAAAGGGGTTGGATCTTTGATGATTGCAGAAAATAAACTCTGTTGCAAACAAAGTCTGATACTTTGACAATTTTTAGGTAATCAAATAAAACCGCCAGAAGTAAAATACTAATGTTAGACAATAAACAAACTTCTCTACAGTCGCAAAACTTCACGTAACCAACACGAAGCCAAAGTCAGAATAGTATTTGGTGTGAGGACGTTTCATAGTCTCATTTAGGCCACTTGCTAAAGTGATGCACTTTATATATACAGTCTATGGTCTTAAATCAAATGAAGTACTTTCTTATGTCTTAAGTCTATAATCTCTTTAGGGTCTGTTTACTAAATAAGTCTTTCAGGCATCTAATTAAAAAACCCTTTCAGGAGACCTGTTGACTTTGATATCAATGAACTTGAAGTCCATTATTTGTTCCTTATTCACCGTTTTTAAGACTCATTCCTGCACCACTGTTTGAATGTCGCTGGTGCAAGTAATGCGTGCCATGAACATACAGTAGATGCTGCATGTATGGGTATAGAAACGGCTAAAGAGACAGTTGTTTGCAACATGTCAACTTTTCTTTCCCAGAAGTCCAACCAATCTAAATCTACACTGACAGGCTGACGGATATATTGAATGTTTTACATTTGCTTTTTATTATTTTATCTTAAAATCAAGCCCTAAAGACAGAATCAAATGTTTTTATACACAGGAAGACGAGTTGCTTGCCAAATTCCCTCCAACCTTTTTTACACTTAACAAGTCCCAGCATGCAGTGTCTGCAGCAACACTCGACTTCACACATCCATTCATTTCCCTTTGGTGTTTGCATCGTTGCTGTATTTTTATACAAACGTCTGCTTTTCCGAAGAGCTAGTCCTCCTTGATCTTTCCAACAACATATCATATGTTGGCTTCAAATACCTTTCAGTGCTTTATTTGTATTTGTTTAATATAATATCTTTAGTACATTTTTTCAAATACAACACAAAACAGAACAGCTCAGACATGACATGACAAGTAAGGTGCGTAGATAAGAACAAGAAATAAAAAACATTGAACAATGTAGGGATCCCCAACTTCTACCATCCGAGGGAAAGAGGCAGCGACACAATTCAGTTAGACAGTAATAATGATCAGAAATAAATAAACAAATACAGAAAAACAGTAAAATGGTTGAAGGAGGAAACCCTCGTGAAGATGACAGTGTTGGTCCAAATAGTCCAAGTAAGGGATCCAAACTGTCTGGAGAGCGTCCACTGAAGAGTGAAGCGTACACAAATCAAAAGTGTTATATTTTCAGTGTTGGAGTTGGAAATTTAAATATAGAGTTGTTTCAACTCATTTTAAGTGTCATTCAACTCCAAGATAGTTATTATTCAAAACGAGTTGGTGTTGAAACAGGGAGTCAATTGTTGAATTCTCCAAACAACTCTAGAGTGTTGATTTAATTACATAGCCAGTGTTACAATCTCTCTTTCTGTGGATCACTGGCTGTTGCTCTGTTGGGTGTGGCCGTGACTGTGAATGTGTGTGCGCGCAGTCGAGGCGGGAGACCAAATCGGAGGAGCATACCACCACATTCTATTTGGAGGATAAACTGACCAAAGTGTAAGTAAATGTTTCGAACCAGTAGCCTAGTACAGGTATTTATTTATTTAGCTGAACAGCGCTTACCTTCAGCTACATAAATAATAATTATTTTACATTGACTGCTGTCTTCGCTCCACATGCTAGTATATGTGTTGCTATAATTAGCCAGGGGTGTTTAGCCTAACATCTTTTTAATATCATTACAAAGTCTGTTATTGGGGCGTTTAGCTCCATGTGTTAGTATATTAGCTGCTATTGTTAGCCGCGGGTTGTAAGCTTAAAGTGTTAGTAAGTTTAGCTGCTATAAGTAAAGCTAAACACCTGCGGCTAACGATAGCAACTCATATTAACAGGTGGAGCTAAACGCCATAGTAGCTAATATTACTAACTAACACGTGGAGGTAAACACCTGTGACCAACAATAGTAGCTCCTGCAATATGAATTAGATGTGAGGCTAATATATGCTACTTTAATATATATTACTAACATGTGAAGCTAAACACCCAAGGCTAACGATAGCAGCTAATAGCTCAACTTGTCAGTCATATTAGCTGCTATCGTTAGCCACGGGTTTTTAGCTCCACGTGTTAGCATGTTCAGCTCCACATGTCAGTAATACTGCTATCGTTAGCCACTGGTGTTGAGCTCCACTGTTAGCATTTTGCTAAATTATTTCAACGACACTTAAATGCATAATTATATTTTTGTAGCAACAGGTCTGTTAGATATTTCTGTAATATGTTTGCTAATACATTTGTATTCTTATAGGACACCATGTTGGTGAAAGTAAGATATGGCGAAAGCCAGAAATATGTGAAAGTGTCTGAGACTGAAGAAGGCTATGAAAGCTACAGTACATTTCTTCAGAAAGGTATGGATAACTTGAATACATATCACTGATTGTTTGAGTCTAACAAATGAATCTTGTTTTAGTTAAACGTACCAATATTGTCAGGTGGTACATTTCAATATTCTCTCTCAGTCATAGAAAAGTTAGGTTTACCACTACAGAGTGAGCTGCACTTGACTGATGAATCAGGGACAGAGGTGGATGCAGATGTCTTTGAAGAGCTTTTACAAGCAGGGAACCTTACAGTCAAAGTGTCCACAGGACAGTCTTCAGGTAAGATTCAGACTGGCAATGGATAATCAGGGACCCATCCCTACTGAGTTTTTGCTGAGATTACCCTGTAACATCGTTTGGAGGGCTGAAAGTATGTTTTTTTTCTTCTTTCATTGAGTATGTCATTCTTTTATCTATCTTGCAGTTGTATGCAAAATGTATCGCACACTTTGCTGGAGTCGGACCTTTCAGACACCTCATTCTCCGTGACCAATGCTTCATCCTCTGCGGTGTCTGATTCATCAGATGCAAGAATAGTTCTTGAGAGAGACAGTGGAGTGAAAAGAGTCCACGCTGATCGGGAATCAGCCAAAGAGGTACAGGGGACTACACTTTTGCAATTTACTCAGTTCTTTATTAATCATTAAACATGGATATATTGGGCAGATAACCTATGATTTGTATGGAATGCCCAAGATAATGACTTCCCATATGATTCTTCTTTATCTTCTAGATGGTCAGCGATGTTCTCCAGTCTAAGCTAAGGGGAGAAAAAATCTTGCAAGAGTATGCGACAACTAAAACATTGATGGATGGTACACGACGACAGATGGTAAACCTACTGGTGGCTGACATGATGGAAGTTCATGGGTAAGGACTGAATATTCCCTTTTGGTGTTAATCATGTTTTCACAGATAGTGCTAAGTAATGTACATTTTGGAAACAACTGCTCACATGTTAAAACAATCTAAAGCTGTAAGGCATTTATACTTTTAAGTAGGGCTGGGCGATTTGGCCTAAAAATAAAACCTCGATTTTTTTCTAACTAATGGACGATTTTCGATTTAAACCTCGATTTTTTTCTGAAATGATATGGATCCTCCTGGATGTGGTGAGTTAAGTATGGCGTGTAAAAAGAAGAATAAAACAGATGGTTGGAGTAAAGATGCGAGGACTTGACATTTTATTTTGGGATCATCCACATTTCCAACAAAGGTTCACGGATGAAAAAAATGCCAATACTGAATCTGATGTTAGAAATGTTGACTGCATCTGGTTTCATTTCAATTTCAACATTTCTATTATTTCCAAATGCACCTGCATGGAAAGAAAACCTATTAAATATCACTGTCCAGAATAATTTGGGTTGCATATTTAGTTATGTGAGAAAAATATACATTATACACTTTTGTCAATCATTTCAACAAATCATATCTCAAAGAAAATTAAAAGAAAGTATAAAGCCTCATATATCTTTTGAAAATGTAAAACTGTTTTATGAAATATGTTTTTGTATGTTCCAATACAAAATATAAAGGCTATAGGTCATCAGTTAAACATTTTAAAAAATAAAATATATATTGTTATATGTTTTTAATATAATAGTGAAATAGAAAAACATGTCCAAAATAAATCAGGTTACAGGATGTTGATTTCAGGAAAGGTAATATTGGGGTTTGTTATAGCTTGCAGGAAGTTAACCATTAGAATAATTGCAATGCATGAATTCCAGGTTAGTCTTGCTGTTGGCATCAAACAAAAAAATCACTTCAGACTGGTTTCATCATTTAAAAATATCATCATGTTGAATGATACAAATACAACAAATAATGATAATGAAATGAATAATAAAAAAATACCCTCAAACAAAATAACATCCCTTTAACTTTCTAGGAAGTTTTCTACAGGTTTTTCACGAGGAAGACAAGCCTGTCTACTGCCTCTGGCTTGAGGCATGCTCTTTGGCATGTTACAATATTACCCCCCGTACTGAAAACCCTCTCCGAAGGGGCACTTGTGGCAGGAATGGAGAGATATTTCTTGGCCAGATAACTCAGTCTTGGGAAGTTAGCTTCATGTAGCTTCCACCACTGCATGTCTCTGTCGCAGGTGCTGGAATAAGTTGGTTGTGTTCCCATGTTTTGCAGCGATCGTCTTTCTACAGACCTTACACAGAACAGTTGTTTGTTCTATGTCTGACTGCTTGTACCCGAACCACTTCCATACAACTGAACTTACTGAAGTGGTACCTTTTTTAGGAATGAGTTCTTCTTCATCTGTGTTCGTGGACAATTTTATGCTACGTCTGTCGTAGTGATGTGTCGGTCGCGAACTATTTAAGTGAACGACGGGAGTCGGCTCTCGCCCGCGAACGAGCCGTTTTTTTTGCGGAGGGATCGGCATGAAGGCTCATTATGCAATGTGCAATGTGCACATTATCCCGCTTATTACATGGCCAAATTCTCAGCAAAGTAACGACATGACTCCCAATATTAATTGAAATGCTTTTATGGATTTAGAAAATGATTTTATTGATTTAAAAAATAGTTTTGTATTGATTTAAATTGACATGCATCCGCTAAGAAAAATAGTGCGTTGTTACTGTTTGAACTAACGTAGCAACGGCAGGAACTGCTTCGATAGTGTTTTTGAGGAGCTTTTTGATTACAGATCCAAAAAAAAAAAATCGCGGTTTTTTCGGTTTAGCCATTTCACAAATCGTAGGAAAGTAAAAATGCAATTAATCGTGAAAACCGAAAAAATCGCCCAGCCCTACTTTTAAGATAAAATATGTATATATTTTTTTAAAGGAGGATCCCGCCAACACATGTGCGAGAAAAGTGTGCTCTTGGCATCATCACTCTATTTCCATGTCTAAGAGATCCATACTCAAAGAATGGATACGTAAGTCTATGAATGAATGACCTGTATTCGAATTTGTGAAAAGGAAGTGTGTTCATTCTTAACTTTTTGAACAACCTTCCTGTAATGCTATCACTTCTGTGTTCTCAGTTTTGATTTATTTTTGGATGTTACAGGAACACTACTATGATGCAGATGGTGGATCTGGCTACTTGGCATGGAGGATAAAGACGGTTCAGCGCAACACTGCGGTTCAGTCCCGGAGGTGCTACCCCAGCACTACCTATCAAGATGGTCCAAAGAGCAAGAGGGATTTTCTCTTGACTTGTGAGCAACTGACTGGCGAGGAATGCAGAGAGGCAATATCCTTCATAAAGCATTCAGCTGACGAATCAGTTGTCAAAGAGAAGATGAAGGCAACATTTCAGTGTCGGCAAGCAATGACTCGGGACCAGCAAGCCTCTTCAACAGTCCTGGATGTGTTTCCTCGTTTCCTCGACATCCCTGGCTTGGTAAGAACAACATGTCATATTTAGTTTATTATTTGGATGGTCTGAGGGGTTGCCATGACTCATGGTGTTTCTCCTGTAGGTTGACCAAGATTTCACAATGATGTTTGGAGAAGAGATTTCTGGAAAAATGTTGGCGAGATGGCGCACTTTCTTCAAACCTAGGATCTTGGCAGACTGCAAGAACCTACACTCTAATGTTCATGTTGATGACCTCTTGTCTGCACAACAAAACTCAAATGAGTCAGGCAAGTATTTTCTCTTGCAGATTTTGTTTACTGAAAATCTTGAGACCTGTCAATGTTATCGGTTGCATAACCTTGATTTAAGACTATTTTCAGCTTTAAACGACTGACTGTTATATTTGCATATTTTTTGCCCCTAGGATGGGACAGTGACCTGTCAAGCATTCTACTCTTGGTTCATCTACTCCCACCAACCTCAAAAGGCCATAAGAAGAGTGCTAAAATTAGCTCGTATCAAGCTGTCAGCCATGTTGTGAGATATCTCAAGGTAGGCATTATTTTAGTTTTTGTATGCAGTTGTTATATCACTGGCACTCCTTGAGTTGGGACAATTTTGTTTTAAGTAGCTTAGTATGCCATTAAAACTTCTCTGTCTCTCTACGTTTTTGCAGATTGGAGCCAGTGTTGAGACCTTCCTTTCGAGTTTGGAACCAGGGCAGCCCTTCCTGCTGTGTGTTGGTGAACAGAAGAACAACATTCAACGGTTCTACGTCATCGTTGACCACAAGGCCATCCCTTGCAAGGGGCAGACATCCATGGCAGCCTTCGATTAACTCTTCAAAGCTCACTTCATCTTCAGTGTCAACTACCATGAATCCCTCACCAGCTTCTACACTTTCATACAAACCACGGTATTTAACATTCATTGATATTGGAAGTGCCAAGGAAAGTCCCAGAGTCAAAGAACTCAGAGCAAGGCTTCTGCACACTGATATCTGAAGTTATTTACATCACTGGATGCAAATATGCTGATTTGTTTTATCTGTAAGGGACACCACAAAAGTTCTGCATTGCTTTGTCAGCATTTGAAATGTCACCATGGTTTATATCCTGGAAAGTCATTACGTTTGAAATGTGGCCAGCCGGGATGTTCTTTATCCTATTGTACTTATTCAGGGTTCAAAAAGCACCTCTTCAGTCTGCACAGGGACACTGGTTCAACTAGTACTATGGACAATGTGGACACTCAACGAGAAACTGATGAATCTTCAAGTTCTCAGGCAGTTTGTACTGACACTTCCGTAACCTCCCAGGTTACTTTTGATAAACAGCACGTGTTAAACATGTGTGTTTCTGTTGTAGTCCAGTTACAAGCATCTGGTGTTGCTGAGAGCACTGTCCAAGCAATGGTGGGGTCCATGGAAGAGCTTGTAAATGATATTCATAGACAAGCAAGAGATGCAGTTCTCAACTGCAGTTCAGAGGTCCAAGGCACTGATTTGGGTAAAAAGTTGGAAAATAGTTTTGATCAGCTAGAGAATCCTTTCACATCCTTTAATACAGGATCCAAACGACAAAGGTTCTTTGAAGAAAAGTGGGAGATTGTTGAACCTGTTGAGTATGTTCTTGGGGTCAGATTTGATTTACGCAGAGATCGAACAACAGGAGTTTACAATCAGATACCTGTAACAGATACATTTGTGTATGTACCCTTGTTGGGAACCCTTAAGTCCATATTTAAGAACAGTGAACTATGTGAATTATTCCTGCAGGCAAAACAACAAGAAGAAGGTACTTATAAAGACATAAGTGATGGTTCATATTTCAAAAGCAATGATTTGTTTTCCAAGCAAAAACACGCTCTACAGGTTCAACTCTATTATGACGATTTTGAGACAGCAAATCCCTTAGGTTCAAAGAAGGGTATACACAAACTTGGTTGTATTTACTTCATATTGAGGAACCTACCCCCAAAATGTAATTCTGTGCTGATGAATATTCATGTCGTGGCACTTTTTCATGAACAAGACCTGAACAAATATGGATTTGATGCAATACTAAAGCCTCTCACTGATGATCTTAAAATACTTGAAATGCAAGGGATAGAGGTGCCTTTCTCTGACTCACCATTGCTAGGATCTGTTATTCAAGTAACAGGTGATAATCTGGGTTTACACGGGCTGTTTGGTTTTGTTGAGTGTTTCAGCGCAACATATTGTTGTAGATTTTGTTTAACTACCAAAGGAGATTTACAGTCCGTCTTCACTGAAGATGACCCTGGTATGGTTTTTCGTACTAAAGAAATCCATGCAGAACATTGTGCAGCTCTACAGGAAAATCCTATTTTAGGGTCAACATTTGGTGTCAAGAAGACATGCTTGCTCAATACACTAACATTTTTCCACACCTGATAACTACGCGGTGGACATCATGCACGATTTGCTTGAAGGTGTAGTGCAGTACGAACTGAAACTTGTATTTCAGTACCTTGTCAATAAGAAGTGTCTATCTCTGGAAACACTGTCAATGAGGATCCAAAGTTTCAACTACGGATATACTGAGAGACGGAACAGGCCAAGTGGTTTAAAAATGGATGAGAGCAAAAATCTTGGATTGAATGCAATTCAGTCAGGGTGTCTCTTGCGAAATGCTCCCCTTATTCTTGGTGATGTTGTTGAAAGAAACAACAATTGTTGGAATCTGCTCCTCCTCTTGATTCAAATGGTGAATATTGTTTTTTCACCAATTATTACAAATGGTATGACATATTATTTGAAGCATTTAATCATTGATCACCACAAGCTGTTCAAATCTTTGTTTCCTGACAGAAGACTGATTCCAAAGCATCATTTTATGATACATTATCCAAGGTGTATTCGAAAAATAGGTCCACTCCTCCATGTATGGTGCATGAGATTTGAGGCCAAACATCATTTTTTTAAAAGATCAGTGAAGAATTTCAAAAACATTACAAAAAGCTTAGTAAAACAACACCAAAGACATTTGGCTTATCACTGGGAGAATTTTAATTTTCAGAGGTTCGAGTTTGGTCCAGTCAGGAAGGAAATGATCGACAGTTTGGAGGGTGGTGAGGCTTTGAGTGCTGCATTTAAGGTGAATGCATACTGCGACGTGTCAACTACTAACTGGGTAAAGAACTATGGAACTGATGATCAAATTGGAATGTTTGTTTCCATAGGAACTGATAAAGAAACTCCTGTTTTTGGAAAAATCAATAATATCATTCTAAATGAAGATCGAGCTTTCATTTTGATTTGCAAAGTGGACACACTGTATTTTGATGAACACTATAGTTCATACTGTATTGAGGAGACGATTGATTCATTTTCTGTTATTTCTATTGATGATTTACGTTATTATAGACCCTATGACAAACAGTTTTCTAATGAGATGGATGGAAAAACATACAGAGTGCCACATTGTCATATTGTGTAACCTGTGCTGTTAAGGACTGCATGGACGTACTGTGGAATGTTAATGTAAGACTATGTTGTATGTGTTGTTTTCACACAAATACAGTTACATGTTAACTGCAAACTTTGAAACTTGGCTTGTGTCTTTCTTTTATATCCTTTTTATTAATAATGTTGCATTGTGTGTAGGTGAAATTATAAATTGACACCCTACAGTGCTTATGAATCAACTCTAAAGAGTTAAATATTGAGTTACATTTTATATCCTTAATAGTGTTAATGTGACTTTAACTCTATTTAGTGTTAAAAAAATGTGTTAACTTTTGACACTGCAAGCTAGTGTTGCGTACATTTAACACTGACCGGTGTTGACCAGAGTTACATTTTAACTATAGAGAGAGTTGCTGGAACTCTGTCCTAGTGTAAACCTTTTAACACTTTCAAAAGTGTAGTTTTAACTCAAAACAGTCTGGACCTATATAGACACTTTAAAAGTGTTGGATTTGACTCTATAAGAGTGAAATTAGCACTGCTGATTTTGCTGTGTACATGAGATGTATTGGTGAGGAATGCGCAGTGCTTTATTAAAGTGAGGAGGACAAAGAAAGCGGGTGCTACGAACAGAGGCATCTTCAGGCCTCGTGGCTCTAAGCCGGTTTATTGAATTCTCTGTTGTCTTTATGGAGGCTAAGACGAGGCCAACAGGTGCCAGTCTCAAGTGGGATGAGCATTAGGATGTTCCCTTTGACCCCGGGGGGAGACTGGACAGCTGCAGTGTCTGAGTATTGGGGGGTGTCAGGGGGGAGGAGGCTAAGGAATGAATGGATTGAGTTCAGCAGGTTACAGACAGGGTGTTTCCAGGTCAAGGCCATAGGCAAGTCAAGAAGGTCATTAGCTGCAAGAACTTTCTTTGCATGTCTGAGGTGAAGTTAAGTTGGATCATGAGCTTCGTCAATGCGAAATAAAAGAACGTCTGATTTCTAAACTAAGCAATACATTACCTTGTCAATATGTCTAATAATTCAGTGGCAAAGTGCTACAGAGTTCATTTGCAATTAGTTTAATACTCTTTAGAAAATATAAGTTATGAAGCCTTTGATGTCGGGCTGTTTACATTCACTAATGCACTGTCATATAATAACCCACGTAATCAAAATGTATGTAACCCAAATTATCCTAAACCAGGACTGGTAACATACAAAGTGACAAAGTCCACATTTGCAGAAGTACGCTGTAGATCCAAAGACATTGGACTGCAATCAGTTAATTGCTGTTCACGTCCCGTGTGAAATCAGAATTGACTTTTTTATTACGTAACCTACGTGCTTAGGTAAAAATACTTTCATAATTATTATTATTACCCAAACCACCTTTTTTGCACAAACCTGACCAAGTAGATTTGTGGCCAAAACTGTTTCTGTCACATTTCATCACGACATTCAAAGAAAAACGCAATGTAAGATGTCATATGTTGTTTAAGGATATGTGGCTGTGGTAGAGCTGATGACACCAATGAGTAAGTCTAATGTTTCTGAAGAGGATGCCCTGATCCAATGTGTTGGATTGGTATTAACACAAATACCTTATTGACCAGATTGTCAATGGAAACACCTCACATTTATCACTTACTAATTATAAAATATCACTTGAATGTATAGAAGAATCAAATGTTGAGTGTATCTCAATTAGAAAATTCCCCACATGTTGAAACAAATGTATCTGGACTAATTTAAACAACATTACATTGGCCTGGCTGACCTTGTCAACAGTTTGTCTCCAGAAGTGATGATTTTGATTCCCGTAGACAGCTGAGTAAGCTATATTTTAATATTTTTTTAAAGGTGCAGCTACAGTGTTTGGTTTGCTTAACCCTCCACTGGAGCCTTGCGTCAGTCAGCCTGGCCCACAGAGAAGAACATGGGGAGATGTCAAGAGATCCCAAGGTAACAGCAGAGCAAATCGCTGGCTCCATGTTCTCTTCTACTCTCCCTTTCTGTTTTTACTGACTCGGGTACATTCTCCTCACCCTTATGTCTCTCTTATTTCCAGCAGCAGACGAGGAAACCCCCAAACCAGTCGGCCAGCCTGTCGGTCCCCTCCGCAGAGGGCCCTGCCAATCATCATCTGGTTCCTCTCATACTGTTTTCTGAGTCTTTCCATTACACAAGTGCCACGATGTACCTGCTGGGGTTAAAGCAATACACATGTTTCAGGGCTCATGGCATTTCCAATAGCTCTCACAGAGATATTCAGAATCAGAAAATAACTTTATTAGTCCCACAGAGAGGACATTTACATTGTTACAGCAGAAAAGAGCCAAATACAGCTTAACGTTACCTACAAGCATGCAAAAGAATTATGATAAACAAGTTACACAATTTACAAAAAAAACACATCCT